AATAAGGTATCCTTCAATGATCCCGATAAGGTGCACAACAAACAAATGACAAATGTGGTGTGGAAAGGTAATTTTCTTAGGTAAATTTACATTGAAACACCACCAGTAGTGGAGGTTATGAGAATCTCATTATCCAGTGCCCTTAAATGAATTTCCATCAGGCAATGAACGACTTACTATGTTTAGAACCTGCAGGCGAGATCAAATATTCCATGTCTTCAGTAGGTTTCTTCAAGTTATGCTGTCGCTCGACTGTATTACAAAATGTTAAGCTTACTAGATTGTCTGCTTAATATTCGCTCCAAATCGTCAGCCGACTGATTCGCCCAAACGACGAAAAAACTCGATTAATTTCACAGTACTGAAAAATTAAACGAGGACATCATCACAATCGAGGACATACCACCAAGGCTGCAGTTTGACCTGGCATCGATTGTGCTGATTGTATCGGGGTTAGGTGACGATTACACTCATGAATATCCATGAACAAAGGAAAAATTGATTACACATCTCGCGTGACGAAAGCAAATTGATAATCATCTGCACCCAAATTTTATTCACGATGATTGGTCAGTCCTCCGATTTGTATTCTGTTTTGATACGCAGTGTCATTTTACTTGCACCTTGTGTTCCACGGTAACCTGATGCAGAAATACATCTGCACCGACACTCACACTTACTTTTCCACGATAGTCAATTTCCACACCCTGGTAGATATCTTCGTGCATGTAGTCATGGAACACTTTACCTTTAAACGGATTTCTGAAATGAAAGAAAGAAAAGTGGCAGTGGGTTTTTTGAGAGAAATTAACACGTAGATCAAAAGGAAAAAACGAAAGGCTAATAAATTATTTTGGAATTCGGTTCCCGTGCTTGTCTTGGAATAAATTTTCACGACGATTTGTGAACCTTCTGTCACACATTGGATTAAATAATAATCCTTTAAGCAGAAATAAATAAGGTATCCTTCAATGATCCCGATAAGGTGCACAACAAACAAATGACAAATGTGGTGTGGAAAGGTAATTTTCTTAGGTAAATTTACTTTGAAACACCACCAGTAGTACAGATTATGAGCATCTCCTTATCCAGTGCACTTAAATGAAATTCGATCGGGCATTGAACGACTTACGATGTTTAAAACCTGCAGGCGAGATCAAACATTCCATGTCTTTAGCAGGTTTCTTCTAATTATACTGTCAATAGACTGTATTACAAACTGTTAGGCTTAATAGTTTGTCTGCTTAATATTCGCTCCAAATCATCAGCCGGCTGATTCGCTAAAACGAGGACATCATCACCATCGAGGATATACCACGATGGCTGCAATTTGACCTGGCGTCGCTTGCGCTGATTTTATCGGGGTTCGGTGACGATTACACTCATGAATAGCCATAAACGAAGGAAAAATTGATTACATATCTCACGTGACGCACGCAAATTCATAGACATCTGCACCCAAATTTTATTCATGATTTACGTTTACGAGAAATATGGGTCAACAATGAGACGCTTCAAAGTCAAACAACGAAACGCGTTTTGAACATTGTGGTTGTTATCATATGTGATATTTACTTGGGATTGTTTGCAATATCGTCGTAGGCGAAGGTTATTATATTCTCAGCGGGGACGTTGTTTTTACGCACGACTTGATACGCGTGGTAAACGTCAGCCTGAATGAGAACACAAATGACACCGCAATTAAGGAAAACAGGCGGAGTGAGGCATGGGGTACAAAGAAGGAAAGCATTGTGTGTATGATAATTCCAACTTGGTGGAGTATCAGTTATCCAAACATTATTGTGATGCATTATACCAAGAAGAGGAAGCATGATTCTAGTCTGGAATAGCGTGTGCGGGCCCCAGTTGCACATTCAGTCACGTGTCAGGACCTGTGTACCGGAGCTGTACAAACTTGGTATCCCTTGACATTGAAAATGCGTCCGAATCTGTCGATCGCTTGTGTACTAGATAAATAGACGCATTTTGGTGATACTCATTGGCAATAAAATATCACCTACTGAATCTTAAGAATGGATACAGGCGAACTGATTCTGTGTACCATCTTCAATAGTATCCTCAAAATCACCCAAGTAAATGATGCCTCAGTGGACGAACGACTTTGATCAAAATGGCGGTCCACATGTTGATTCCAAATACACGCTTACCAGGTTGTATAGAATTGCTTGTTCAGATTGTCTTCATGAGGTTTTATCAGTCAGTTTAAGAACCAAAATCCGTTCCTTTCGGCTTTAAAAAAAGTAAACAGGTAAATTTTCGGTGTCCCAATAATTTTCATTCTTGGAAGGCCTTCTCGAATGTATCCTCCCTTGATGACCAGGCAACTAGGTGAACAAAGTTTGGTCATATATTCGCCAACTACGGTCACCTAATGACCTTGGATAACATGCTTGCTCTTGGAAGATATTTAGTGTAAAACCATTCTAGATGAAAACAACACATGTATGAACCTCGTAGAATGTTCCTGTTTGATTGTTGCCAGTATTGTCACTCGAACAAAAAGCTACCATTTCTGGGTCTGTCAAAGAGAGAGATTGGAAGTCACAGAGGCCTTACGGTTTGTGCGTCTCAATTACCCACTGAGCAGTGTATGTGGGGCACTCACAGATCCTCCCATACCCGGTTGCTCTATGGGTAGAAATCTTTCAAGTTGGTGTTGGATCTACTCCCCATGAATTAGGTTCAAGAATTTAGGCTCCTTTGAATGCCTGCACAATCCAACACCAATTCGGGAATGTACAAGTGTAAATGGGATTTCGGGATGAGTGCCTTAATCGCGGACACTTAATGGCCTCCCTTCTGTGTGAGGGTTTCCCGCTGTACTGGCGCATAATACTGATGACACAGGCGAACTGCCTGCTGTCTTTTCCAAGTTCCCCTCAGGGTCTAATGGAAGGCGAAATTTGTTAGGAAAATTGTGGAACCGCTTTAAGTGCATGACATTGAATGAATACGCATAAAAGCTGAAGACAAATTTTGAGTATGTTCGGACTTAAAAACCTCTGCGCAGATAAGACGCCTACTTTCCTGTCCGATAGTTTATGTCCGTTCACTTGATGTTTGCTAACAAACGACCTAGTGATGAAGGACTTTCCTCATTTCCCTGGTAGCATCACAGCCTGTTTTCAAGCTTGGATTGCAGGCTCACAATCATTATCATGTTGCATCGGTCGTGAGTGTTGTCATCAAACCGATGGTGATGTCTGCTCTTTCCCGCAGCGCGCGTAATCGAAAAAGGCTATTAGTGAAAACTTTCTTGCTTCTCTCTCAGATATTCGGTATTTTCAATTTCTTCATTTTTGTGCCAGAGTTATCCATATAGTTCCATTCTTATAACTAAGGGAAAAGTTCGCCTCCCATTTTCGTCAGCTGCAAAATCCGCGTTCAACTCGGTTGCTGCATCTCTAAACGCTCTAAAATTATTATTCAGTTTGTCCGTCACTGCTTATTTCATACGCTCTGATACAAGTTGTACAGCATGTTTTTACAATGGATTCCTCATCGCTTTCTTCGTAATACGGAATAAAATTCTCACTACGGTTGCTGAAACGCACCGCTTGTTTGTTTCAGCTCGCTGTCCTCTGCATGATCCGCAGGCATATGTTGCTTTTTTCAATGATTTCGGCTCGAGGTCCGCTGTGAATTGAATGATTCTTGAGCTTAATTACTTCAATTCACGAAGAACTTTAAAGACAGAGTCATGACCAGGAAGCAGGATTCCAGTCCTGAATGGCTAGTGTGAAACACAGCTTCAAGTCGAAACAACGACAGGCGTACAGGAGCTCCACCATCTCGTTGTCCCTTGACTTCGATAATAATACATTTGATATTCTCGTTCCTGTCTTCACTGGACAAATAAAAAGATTGCAGCAAATCATAGGGGCAATAAATTTTACTGGGTGAATCTTAGGATTGAGTACAGATAGATTTGAAACGTATGACACTTCTACGCGATTCCCATGCATATGAGTCAAGAATGAACGAAGGAATTTCACCAAAGTGGCTCTTCATATTTTTAATCAAATTCGCATGGCTCCATCGCAACAAGTAGTATACAGTTATTTTCCCACATTGACTAGCGATAGAATAGATCTGTTCGGGGGCCGTGGGAATACTCTTGTGTTTATCCAAAAGAAACCTTCTACTCACAGTCAGTGATTTCACCTAACATAACCATGTCGGTTTCCTACTAACATGAATCACGGCATGCACATCTGTAATAACCGGTGAATCGACCCACACAAAGCGAAATATCTCTGCACGACATGGAAATATTGACGAAAACCAACACAAGCTACGCAATGTGTGGCCATTAGTGTTGCCATTAGTTGTGGGTTCTATCCACCGCCTTCTCGAGTGCAATGTCATAGTCATTGTGAAAATTAGGAGGCACACAGCTCATAGTGTACCATTAGTTCAAAATTTCACTTTGAAATCTCATTCTTGCGGAAGGTTGATGAACGTTTTATACTCAAAACTGTAAAAAACCAACGAAAACATACTTGATGGCGATAATTTCGCCAGGTGTTGGTACCAGCAACGAGGACAACCCAGTTCTTCGACGGGTTGTTGTTAAATATGGATGACCAATTGTGGACATCGACGGCACCCAACCAAGCAAGGTGATTGATGCAGTACAAGAACTCAAATAGAAGCGAAGCGCGAGGCATCATGTTCAGGTTTACTTGAAGCTTCATATGCCTGAAATTTATACTCTTCGTCTCGTGTGAATCGCACTTTGCCTTACTCATATATGGCGATAGTGGGGAAAAAAACTGTCCACCAAGTATCTAATAGGTCTGTGGTACAAAGTTTAACCAAACCAGGATATGATGTGCCGTTTTGATCACCTTGTTCAATGGCTGATAATTTGCTCCACCTACTTCCAACACTGTGCGCATGAGTAATTTTTGGCGTTTTCTAGGATAAACATGACTTATTTCGATAAGCGCCAATGCGCTTCAGACAGTGGTGAACAGCAAACGGAGCCTCCAAACGAGTTTCGCGTAGTAGCTGGCATCCAATTGACTTTATTTCAGCGAGACATTTATTCGTATATGTGTATTTAAAAACCAAAGTGAAAATGTATGTGTTTGCAGTGGGCGAACATAAAGTTGATACTTCTGAGAAGCTGTGTATTTTCTCACAATGTACATCGATGGTTTCATGCCGTTCCTCGCTGACTTATTTATGTAACACGGAAGGTCACACAAATTCTTGAGCCTAGGAATTTACTTTGATCGGCGGTGAGCTGTTCATGGGTTTCCAGCAAACGTATGAGGACTGCGTTGCATCTAAAATAAACTGATTTAACGCGCGCTTCCCCAGCGCCTGTCCAGATTTGGCGTTTACCTCGTCGGTACACCGCGACGCGCATGTGCGTAACCGTAGTTCCAATTGGATGCAGATCACAAGGATAAAGCCGCTAAACAAAATGTCTCTCCACCACAGTCAATAATACGAACAGTGGGATATGGGAATTAGAATTACGATTCATGTGGCTTTTTTCGAAAATGCAATAATCGGGAAATGAAATGCTACACCTGATAAAACACACTCGTTATCGAATCTAATGGGGATAAAGGTCCGTGGTTTCTTTTTTCATGATAATATTTAATAGTGAGCCTACGAGATACTCCAGCCAGAGTAATCTTCCACTGCGTGTAGGTAAACAAGTGCATAGTCCGAATGATTTTCGTTCTATCTCAAAACGCTTTATTGTACAAAAGCGATTACCTGAGTAAAACATTCTGTGTGCCTAGGTGGCACTTATACCAAGCGAAATTCACAGCAGGCGTTTTAATGAAAACTTCCAACGCCTCAGGTTCCTGGTAAAACACCCAGGAAAATGAACGGGTAGAAATTGCGAGGATGTTGTACTTATATGCAAGCAAAGTGATACGAGCGTTAGCCATTCTACTCGCGTACCCAGTGCATGACTCACACTCGCAGGGTATGAGGTCTATCGACAACACTCGAAGATTGGTCGAACCCATGTGGGTTGGAACTAATTAACAAAATGGATCCAGCACTATTTTGTGCGCAACCAAACAGAAAATCACTCAATCCTAACCACACACTGCATTTTTTCCGGTCGATTTAATATACATTCTTGCCAAAATCGCGGTTGATATTCGGTGAAAATCATTCAACCGGAAATCTATTTCAAGGAGACATTGTTAATGGAAAACCAGAGAAAATCGAAAGTACGATTGAAGACAATCGTCATTTAGTGAGTATTGAGGCAACTAAACTGTATGGGGTCAATATTGATTTAACGCTTGAATAATCAGGGAAAACACATCCGAGACGCAAACAATCGCGCTTGGTAAGGATAGTTGGATGACCAAGTTTCTAAATATTCTGTTTGTGTACGTTTCCGTTTGTCACTCGTGGGAGCGAGAGAACGACCGCTTTCAATTAGGTTGCCACGTCATAGTACCAAGGTTCTTGTTTGTAAAAATGTAGCAACCTTCCACCTGCAATTTTGTATCCAGCGTGTAACCATGCTGAGCCGACTGCACGAAGCCAGCTGGCTGTCGGTTCTGCGGCAGTCCATCTGTTGTTACGTTTGACGAACATATTAAGTGATGGACAGCGAGTTCACCTACCACAGCGGCCATTACTTCCACTGATTGCCAAAACTTGAATTAAACGTGCAGCTTCTATAAGGATCAACCTAGTAGCGGGAAGTTGTGTTCCAAAACGCAAACCCCGCAGACCGTTTAAAACGGATTTACCTTAGCCGCTGTAATAGGTCCGAATTTTGAAGTTAAACATGATGCAAACCCGCGTACGCGCTAAGCATGATCAGACAAGGCATCAGCTGTTTTGGCCTGTGGGGACTGAGCACACACTCACACGCTTCGCTCCGCCAAACGGCTACCTGTCGCTCTGAACAACAATGACATTCTCCAGAGAGCTATTTGTGATGTGCCAGCCAAGGTAATTAAGTATGTGCGAAAGCTTTCATACATTAACCTAGTGCATAGGGTAATTCGCGTTTTGTACATTTATTCGCCAAGGAAGTAATATCCAGAAGCATGTGTTATGTCAAGCCCCTGGTCGATGGAACAACTCGGCACTTGGGCCGTCCTCTATGTTGGGTCATTGAGTAACATTGAGTAACACAGGGTAACAACAGCACGACTGAAGTTTTTATATTGAGCCGTCTGATCTACATGACGTCAGATGGGAAACTGGGATAAATAAGAATTTATAATGAACGAATAGGTGAATGAATACCACTTGGGCCGTCCTCTATGTTGGGTCTGAAAACATTGAGTAACAAAGGGTAATAACAGCACAACTGAAGATTTTTATTAAGCCGTCTGATCTACATCACGTTAGGTGGGAAGCTGGGATAAATAAGAATTTATAATGAACGAATAGGTGAATGAATGAATGAATGAATGAATGAAATGAGATGAAATGAGACAGTGGGTTAAGGAGTCCGGGCAATGGCTTTGTAGATCAGCAGTTTTCAAATGGATCCAGTTCAGTTGTCTAAGCTTATATAAGCAAACAAATACTGACCTACAACTCAAGGCGCAAGAAACTATATAGTGTTATTTCAAAAGCGCCATTCGGCAAACTTTTCCGAAGATCATAGACCTCCTACCAGTTGTCAAATGGATCCAGTGCAGATGTCTCAGCTTATATAAGCAAACATATACTGACCTACGACTCAAAGCCCAGACACTATATAGTGTTATTTGAAAAGCGCCACTCGGCAAACGTTTCCGAAGATCATAGACCTCATTGATACTAGCCCGCAGAAGAAAACTCTTATTCAGGTATTCCACTGTACTCAACAAAGTCTGATCACCCACAAAATTATAAGGATTTTCTGCAGTCCTGTCACCCAATCTCCCCTCTTCCAACAAGAGTAGAAAGACCGCACAGAATCTTTTGTCTAATGCAATGGTCATAGTCTCCGGACGACCTTTGACAACACTTAGTTAGAAAGACGCGTTGTTGACGAAATCCGTCATACTGGTGAACCCACGAAACTGTTGTTGTTGCGAGACACCAATGCCCTATGGTAGGAAATGATCTGTCATCCAAATGTGTGAACATGGTGAAAGTTAATTTCGTGCGGTAAACCCGAAATGGGATGTTGGGAAACCCTTCAGTCGCACTGCGCAAATTGCGATACCGGATTCCCATGGAATGGAATGGAAATCCGACAAAAGCTAAACCATGAGATTAATTATATCCTTTTCAGCACATTTTAAAACGTGTTCTTTCACATATAACCGGCTGTGAACAGTGGAATTCGTCCTGGCATAGCGTTTAAGATGCTGGCCGTACCCCTCTGAGAAATGGAACGTTGTGCCTTGTGACTTGCTGTTTTATTAGGTGGGCTCATAGGAAAAACCCAGTGTTTTATATCCGGTAATGACAATGATTTATTTCAGTCCAGTGGACCTGCCATGCACTGGATTGTTCATAAGATAGTGTTTGCCCATATTGTCGGCGAACGCGGTGTGAATTATTCCATTGTGAAGTGGGGAGAGAAGGTTTCTGAAGGAGTGAGTCACACTGTTTGGAACCACTGAACTTTCGACTAATGGAAATTCTTAGGGTCAACTGTAGGTGCGAGAAC